GGCTGCCTGCCCCGGCGAGGGGGCGGGGGGACCGAGGCCCCCGGTGCCGCGCCGTCGCGGCGTTTCTGGGCCGCGCGTCAGGAGCCGTCTCTTGCCCCTATGGCGTTGGGGCCTCGGGGGACCCACAAGCCAGACCCCAGCCCGCTCGGCCCCGGGATCGGGCACAGCTCCCTGACGACTCCTCTCCCCGCAGGATCCACACACTGGATGAGTCGGACCGGACGCGGGGCCTCGCTGGCAGGAGCCCAGCGGGTGCCCGGGATGTTGGGACCCCACCCCCTGCCCACCGCGAGGACATAGGGCGGAGCCGTGTTCCTGCGGCGCAGCGGGGGGCCTTTCCCGAGCCCCGCGCCGCTGCGCGGGCGCCTTAAATTATTGGACTATCTATGTATTTATTTCGATGGCTGTTTGTCGTTAAACCACGTCTTAATATTGTGTTTTTGCATCAGTGACCGTTCTGAATAAACTGCTCGTGTTCTCTTTTCTACCAGCCGGATGTGGTGCTGAGGTTCCCGGGCGTGGTGGGGTGCCAGGCGGGTCATTCAGGGTGCGGATGGAGAGGGGACGCTGCCACCCCTGCCCTGCTCAAATGAATGGGCGTCTTTGAGCCCGTCCACACCCTCCTTGCCAGGCTGCCTCTGCAGAGGCCAGGAAGTGCCCTGGGTTTGGCCCTGGCTCACTTCCGCTCCAGGTCGTGACCTGGGGAGGACAGGGCTGGTGCCCTGCTTGATCTGGGAGGTCGCTCACAAACCGCCCCGCTGAGGTCAGTGTACCTCCCTGGCCCAGCTGCCCGCTCTCACCTACGGGCCCCCTGCCCAGCCCACAGGGAGGAAGCTGGCGGTCCTCTGGCTGCCTGCCCGCCTGCTCGTGACCCCACTCCGGGCTGGGCCACGGCGGCTCGGGGCAGTCTGGGGGGCAGGGCCCGCTGGCCGGCACCCGCAGTTTCGAGCCAGCAAGGCAGGCAGGGCTGGGCAGATGGAGAGACTTGTGACACTTCCGATGATGGTGTGGCGGAAGGCTTAGGACCACGATGGTGCGGTTGGGGTGGGGTGGACACGGTGTGTGTCCGGGGCTGCCCTGCAGAGGGGGTTCCGGGGTGTGTCCCTCCACTTGGTCTACAGGTGATGAACACACCAAGGGGACAGAGTAACTGGGGACACGTCACTGATCCCGGTGCCTGAGGGACGCTGGGTCGGGGAGGCAGGCGGGTGGGGAGTGACGGACCAAAACTGGACCTAAGGTCAGTTGCTAACCTGACTGGGAGAGAGCCATCGCAGGCCACCTGGGCGGGCCAGCCTAGGAAGGGGCCAGCCAGGGGCCCGGGTTCTGGGTCCAGAGAGGACACTGGTCCCTGCCAGGAGTGTCCTCCAGAGCAGGGAGTTCTGAAGGCCCTGTGCAAATGGGAGGGGACCCAGGGAGGAGAAGAACAGGTCCCCGGACCCCAGGAAGGACCCATCGCACCCCACCTTGGAGACCTCCCGCTCCTGATCAAGTCAGGGGTGAGATTCCTGCCCCCTGGGGTCCGAGAGGAAGTGGGGTCTGGCTCTCTGAGGCCCCTTCCAGTTGGGACCGTGGAATTCTCAGTTTGGGGATTCTGTGTTTTAATAGCTTTTAAAGGTGGCCTGTGGGAGGGGGCTGGCCTTCATGGGCTTGGGGTACCTGCACACCCCATCAAAGTTCTCTCCGTACTGGTCGTGGGTCACAGCGGCCGGCCGGCCTCCCCCTGCCCAGTGTCCCTTCTCGGTAGAGCCGAGGTGGCAGGCGGGGGAGGGGAGGGGACAGTGCCCCCTGCTTCTCGGGCTGGGTCTATCCGGGTCTATCCGGGTCTATCCGGTCTGTCTGTCCCCAGTGTGGTGTCAGCGCCCTGCCCTTCCCTTTCCTAAGTTTTCCCGAGCCTTACCTTCCTTATCTTTTCAAACAACCCATTTCCTCTGACAGCAGATCCAGCTCAGGACTAATGAGGCTGAGGCGTGGGGGCGGGGTGCTCAGGGGAGGCGGAGAGGGTACTTCTCATTGGACGTGGTGACAGACTCCAGGGGGCAGGAGGCACTTGGGTGATGTTGCCCTCCCGGAACCCTGGGACCCAGCTGCAGGCCCCTCCTCCAGGAAGCCCTCCGGCATTCCAGGCTCCATCTCTCAGTCCCAGGCCTCCCCCCAAACGAGATGCAGGCAGGCCTGCAGAAATCAAGCCGGAAGCGGTCCCAAGGGGATTTATTGCCAGTCTGTGCTCAGGAGCCAAGGTCACCTGGCTTTGTTCACCTCCTGGAGGAGTATCGGTTGCCTCCACAGGACCAGGAGGACAAGGAAGTTGACGGCGAACTGCACGTGGCCGAAGGCGGGGACGCCAAATCTGCGGTACAGGAGGCCACCCAGGGTGGGCCCGATGGTGCGGGTCAGCGGCTGCACAGAGGCGCAGAGGCCCAGCATGGTCCCTGTGTGTGTTGGGGGGAGGGGCATGAGTCAGGCCTGGGCAGGTCCCTCGGGGTCTCCACCCCGGCTGCCCACCTCCTAGGCCCAGCAGAGGCCTCCGCTGTCTCCCTGACCCTCCTCCCGCAGGGCCTGCAGGCCTGCTCCCCGTGGGCCACCCCTGTGCTTCCAGGATGTGGGGCTGCCCAGGAGTCCCCAAGCACAAAGGGGTCTGGGAACAGGCGTAAGCACCAGCCAGGCCCTGTCCTCCGGGGCCACCAGGGAGTTGGCAATGACATCGCAGCAGGCAGAAAACGGGGAGTTGGGCCTGGCGGTGAGAGGTCCTACCGGGTCACAGCTGTGCGGGCTGGGGTGCAAGGCAGGCCATGACACCCCCACTGTCACCCCTATAGCCCCAAGCAGCCTCAGAGGAACTGGAAGGAACGTACCCCACAGGCTGCGGAGGGGCTTCGAGGTGCACGGAGGGCAACCCGCCTGCCTCCGTGCCCCACTTCCTAGGTTCGCCTAGCTGCCTGCACCCCGGGTACCTGACACCCCGTCCCCACGCCCCTCCTGTCGGTCGTGCCTTTGTGGGTGAACGTGTGGTGGCTACTGCCAACGTGGACAACATCTGCCCAGAGGCCCCCCGGCCCCGGCGGTGTCAGAACCCAGGTCTCTGGAGCTGGAAAGCCTGGCCGGGTCAGCTGGCAGCCGCCCGGGGAGGCCCTGCCTGGACGCGGGGCCCAGCGGGGGCGTGTGAGAGCCGGCCTCGCCCATCGCCCACGCGCCCTGCAGACACCGGGAGCAGGAGCGATTTCCACCCGCTCTGTGGTCTCGTTCTCAGGCTGGGGCTGGGAACCAAGCCGAGGGGCGGGGCGAGGCCTGGGCCCTCCTTCCCCCGGCCTTCTTCCCCTGCCCCTTCCTCCAGGCCTCTGCAAAGTGCTGGCCCACCACCTCCGGGAAGCCCTCCAGAACCAGCCTGGCCCCCCACAACTGCAGAGCCATGGATCTGAAAGGCGGAGAAGACGCCTTGCCCGCCAGCTGCCCGTTCCCGTCAGGCCGCGAGACCTCAGCCAGCCCTTCCCGGACAGACAGGCGGACGGACCACGGTTAGCCAGGCCCCCTGAGCTTCCTGGTCTGCTGCTGGGGAGACCCTCACCCTCACACAGCCCGGAGGAGCCCATGAAGTCGACCGGCACCGTGCCTGGGGAGGGGTGGGGGCAGAAGCCTGGGCACTGTTGGACCCGGGGCCCCCAGTCTGGATGGGAGACACCTGGGCCTCAGGAAGGAAAGCTGGGTGCAGAGTGAGGGCTGGTGGCCCATGTCTGGGGTCACCAGCGTCCCACCAGGCGGCATGGGGCTTTCTAGATTCAACTAGCTGTGCGCGTTCCTTCACTCACTGGTCCGCCCAGGAGGCGCCTGCTCACCCCATGCGTCGCCCGCGTTTGGGGGGCCCCACGCCCTTCCGGGCCCTCTCCCAGTCCCTGCCCGCCATGCTGTCTCCCTAACTGGCGTCCGTGGGAGCCATGCAGAGCCTCGCCTGCACACCTCCACTTGGCCGGGGCTCGGCCTGGAAAGCCATCTTTCGCTCCCCCCCGTGACTGGTAAACTCCTGTCTATGCTTTAGAGCCAAGCCAGACGCCACCTCCAGGAAGCCCTCCTCCCGTCCCCTGGGTCTGGCCCCGGACTGGTCTTCAGGGCCAGGTGCAGGGCTAGCTGGGCTCAGCTGGGCTGGTTGGTGGCCAGAATTCACACCTGAGCCTCCTTCGGCCCACTGCCCCACCCTGCCCAAGACCCCAGGTCACCCACCCCGCCCGAATCAGGCTTTTCAGAGAGGAGCGCCGGGGTCTCCCCGGGCCTAGCCCCCTCTGGCCCCCGCCGCGGCGCTCACCCGTGTCCGAGGCCGAGACGGCCTTGGTCAGCATGCTGTCGGTGACTACGTTGAGAGTACACAGGCTAAAGACCAGGCCAGGCATCAGGAGGCAGAAGTGGAAGACGTTACACATCAGCACCTGGCACGGGCGAGGCGGGACAGGGCCGTGGTGATGGGGGGCCCACGGGGCCAGGGCGGGGGGCCCATCGCTGAGGTCCCATAACGGGGCTCTGGATGGGGAGGAGGCCCAGGGACTCCAGTGCAAATGGAGCAGGTGCGGGAGGTCGGGGTGGGGGGCCCGGGACCCCACTCTTCGCAGGGGGACAGCTTGGAGGGGGTGCTCTCACCATGGCCAGTCCCACCAGGCAGAAGACCAGCACGCTGGCCCAGAGCAGCGCTCCCTCCGAGAAGCGTCTGCTCAGCCGCCCGATGAGCAGGCCCTGGATGACCTAGGAGAGGGGACGAGAGAGGGTAGGAGGGGGCCTGCACTGCGGCCGGGCCCCGCCACCCGCCGTCGCCCCCCGGCCCTCCACTGCCAGCTGTACCCTCTTCGCCTCCCCAGGGTGTGGCCAGCCAGGGAGGAGCTGGTTAAGGGTCAGGTGCCCGCTCTGTGCTCCCCCCGTCCTGCCCTCGGCTCCTCTCCATGGGGGTGGAAGGAGGGGCCCACAGCAGGGACGCCCAGGGACACCAGGGACATGACTCAGCGGGCAGGCCCAGCCGGAAGGCCACTCCCAGGCCGGGGTGAGGCTCCCTACAAGTCTTCCCACCTCTTCTACCAGGCAGGCAGGAAGGGCTCCTTGGGCCTGGAGCAGTGCGCCCTGGAGCTGGGGGTCTGGCAGGCTGGGGGGCAGCAGCCACCTGGGCTGGGAGACGGTCAGTGCCGGCCTGGGCTGGGGATCTGGGGGTCAGGGCCGGCCTGAGCTGTGGGGGTCAGTGATGGCTTGAGCTGGGGGCTCAGTGACAGTCTGGGCTGTGTGGGGCTGGGGGGTCAGTGCTGGCCTGAGCTGGGGGCTGAGGGTCAGTGCCGGCCTGGGCTGGGGGTCAGTGCCGGCCTGGGCTGGGGGGTCATTGTCTGCCTGGGCTGGGAGAGGGCTGGGCCGCGTGTCCTGGGCGGGCCCAGCTCTGCAGAACGGGAATGACCACCACTGTCCTCACTTTCGAATCAGAACCACAATGTCCTGCTTGAATCCAGACTTGCTTTGTCTCAAGGGCAGACCCATGAGGCGGTGCCCTCGGTGCTGACCCAGAGGGGAGCCGCAGTGCCGGGTCCGGTTTACGTCTGGCCTCGGTGTTTCACACAGACAGAGACCAAGACCCTGACATGTCAATGTCGTCTCTCGATTGTCCCCTGAACTAAAAAAGCCGAAACTTGTGTGCCTCACAGGTTACTACGTGAAACTAGGCTTGGCAAACACATCACGTGTCCCACTGTCTCCCTATCCTCTACTCGGAGCTCCTGTGTATCCACCTGCGGCCCCTCCCTGCCCCCGGCCCGAGCCTCCACTGCCCCCCACCCCAGGGTCCCCTCGGTCGCCTGAAACCCCCGGGTCTGAGCCCATCCCCGTCTCTACCAGCAGCCAGAGCTGGAGGCCTAGTAAGATCTTGCCCAGCCTCTGAGTTACCCCTGCCTGCGGCCCCTCCAAGGAAGTCCGGTCCTTCTTGGCCCTGAAGACGGACCCCAACGTGTCTCAGAGTCTGGTCCCCTCCCCTGGGGCCTCCCCTGTCTCTGCCTGAGGGCGTGGGCACTGGAGCAGCCGTTTAGAATGGGGCTGCAACGGCCCCAGCTTTGGAGTGTTGTTATTATCGTTGCTGTCTGTCTGTCTCTCGTGCCCCTCCAGTGTGGCCGGGCCACCTGCAGAGCATAGGCCCTCTGCCCAGGTAGGCTGGGGCCGGCCCTTCCCAGGAGACACTGTTTTAGTACCGGGGTCTAGAGCAGCCCTGGGTGGGAGGCAGGGGGAGCAGTCGGCCACCGGGAATGCCACACACTTCCGGGGAGGTTGAGAGCCACCTCCCCGGCTGGGGCAGGTCCCGGGATAGCCCCTCCCGCACCCTGGCTGCCCTGAGCTGAAGGGGCAGGTCGCTGCCGCCTGTCCCCACCACTCCGCGACCTAGTCCAGACGCCCAGGGAAGGCTGGGGTCCTGGGCCCTGGCAGACAGGACACCCTGAACTGCTTCCAGGGCACCCTCTGACCCCAGGTAGCCATCTCAGGGCACCCCACAGTGACGGCAGGGGCCGCCGGGGTGCCACGTCGGCTCCTCGACTCGGCTGACAGCTGCTGAGGGCTGCTGTGGTCCCCTCACTGACAGACGGGGACATGAGACTCAGCCGCTGGGGATCCTGTCCCTCTGCACGGATGGCCAGCTGGCAGGACACAGAGCCCGCCACTGCCCTCCCACGCCCGCCTCGGTGTCTGCTCACATCCTTGTCCCATCCACCACCAGGCGCTCGGGACCGCGGTGCTGGCGGGCAGGAGGCCAAGGGCGCGCCCGCCTCCCCCGGGACGAGTCCCGCTCCCCTCTCAGAGGGGCCCCGGGCAGGTGGGTGGGCACAGAGGCCCGGGTGCAGAGCCGGCCTGGGGGAGCAGGAGGAGGCTGCGGGGGCCGGAGAAGCGGGAGGGAGTAGGGATCGTGGCGCTCAGCCCAGGGTGTGGGGGGGCCGGGGAGCAGCACAGCCCAGCGCAGCTGAGAAACTGGGGCGCGTCCGAGAGCCCGACCCAGCCCGCGGCGCCTGGTGCCCACTCACCATCATCAGAATCCCGAAGAAGGACTGGAGGTAGCTGGCCTGGGCAGGCTCCAGCTGGAAGAACTCCATGTTGATGATGGCGAACATGACCAGGAAGAGCCCTTGAGCGGGGAGGGGAGATCGAGGCTGTGCGGTCGTGTCCCCGGGGGCCTGGGCTGCATAGTCGGGGTTCCAGAAGCCCTGACCGTAGTCACCAGGCCGTCCCGGATGAGGGCAGCCGGGAGATGGGGTCCCAGGCTCCAGACACACCTTGACCCTCAAAGGATTCTTTTTACTAAAACTGGTGACATGGTTCCAGTCCCCAAGTGGGGTGCTCTTTATGTGTCCCAAAAGGCCAGGCTGGATCGGAGCCGGGGCCGGTGAGGACCTGGCCAGGCAGCCCCTGCCTCAGCCTCCCCCCTCCCGCCCAAGGAGCCACAGCACTGTCTGCCAGGGCAGACGACCTTCTGCTTGGCGAGGGGCCAACCCTCCAGCGCCATCGTGGGAGCGACTGAGCGCCTTTGACGGCGGCCTCGCCAACTTCTGGGCGCCGCTCCCGGCACCCAGGTGGGCCCTGGCTGGCTACTGGGCACGACCACGGTCACTGACGTCTCAGCGGACGGCCAGGACACAGGAGTCGGCCGAGTGCTGTCTGCCTCCTGCCCTCCGCCTCTCCCGAGAAGCCCCTGAGCCAAGGGCGGGACCGCGCCACGTTTGAGCAAATGGCTTTCGGGGCTGCGGTGAAGGGGAGGGCGCCGGGAACGCATCTCCACCGGCCAGGCTGTCCCTCTCTCGGGGGATGTGACCGGTGGCGCTGGGAGAGAGGTGGGCACGGAGCACAGGACACAGGGCAGAGGGACAGGCAGGCTCCAGCCGCCCGGGGGTGGGACTCACCGAAGGGGAAGCCGCAGACCACCTTGATGAGGAACACGGGGAGGACGCCCGGCTGCAGCAGGAGGCGGGTGATGGTCTTCAGGTCGAACACGCCGGCCTGGGGTCCGCCTGGGGCAGGGGAGGCTGTCAGGCCCACGGCCGGCCCTCCGCCCCGCAGCCTGGCTGCTGGGGGGCCAGGCCGCAGGCACCCCTGCGCCCCAGGCCCCTCTCGGCCCTGACTCCCACCTGTCACGGCCCGGGCTCTCGGCCGGTTCCCGCCCATGGGAACGGGAGCCGATGACGCCCGGCAGCCCCTCTGCCCCGGCCGCCTCGGTGGGCACCTGGCGGCTCAGCCCACTCCCAGGGCTGCTTCTCAGGCCCGAATTCCAGGAGGTTCTCAGACAACACAGCGCCTCTGCTCCCAGGCGATGGGTGAGGCCCTCGCCCCTCCAGCCCAGGGGCCCTGGGCAGGACCACGACAGGCCAGGGAGTGGGGGCCACTCTTGGTGCCAAGTGACCACCATGTCCTGCCCTACTCCCCTGGGGTCCCCGATATGTTGGCTCCTAGTTCCCTGCCCTCGGCAGGCCCTGCCCCCACCCCAGGTCCACCGTCTGGGCTCTTTCTGGATTGTTCCATCACGGCCACTGCTCAGGGGCCTGCTGTCCTGGCGTGGCTTCCAGGTGGGTCTTTGTCACAGAACGTGTCTCAGTCATGGGGCAGTCTTTCTTTGCCAGGCACGTGGTGGCTCGGCTGGGACGCCCTGGAGGGCCGGGGAGGCGCGCAGGCCCCCGTACCCTCACCTGGCTGCCCTTTGCCTCGCCACCCACCGTCCCCTGCCCTGAGCTGCTCCCGAAGCCAGCATCCTCCCAGCACCTGCTGCTCTGGGACTCAGCATCCGGCTGGTCACCCCGCCCCACTCGCCGGCCTCCCCTGGCCTCCCTGGCGGCCCCACCTACCCCCTCCACTGCCTCGGACATAAGCCTGTCTGACGGCCACCTCCATGCTCGCCTCCGTGACTGCACCCAACTCAGTTCTAAGACCGTGGGCACCCCGGACGGGCTCAGGGGAGGAAGGAGGGCGTGCACGGCCTCTGCATCCCTCCCCGTGCCCTGCAGCACCCCCACCTCAGGGGCGGGGAGCCACTGTGGACACTTTGGCATATCACGGTCTCAGCGGACTCACTGAACAGAGGGCCTGGGGGAGGGGGCCCAGCCGGAGGTCTAGGGTGCTGGCTGGCGAGAGGGGAGGCCCCACGCCTCACACCGGGGGAGTCCCAGGCCTGGTGTGCCTGGTCGGGGAGCCTGGGGGGCTTACCTGGCGGGGCAGCCGGGCCATGGGCTCCGGCTCCTTTGGTGTTGGCGGGGACGTAGGTGAAGCTGAGGATGGCTCCCAGGAGGTTGGCCACAAAAGCCACCAACACTGGACAGTGGATCCTGGGGGCACACAGGGCTGAGGTCTCAGGCTGCGGGCGCCACCTGTAGCATCGCCCCCACCTGCACCTCGGCAGCTGAGAACCCCTCACCCACAGCCCACAGCCTGTGACCTGGAGGGTGGGGACCGGGACTCTAAGGGCACATTTATCAAGTGACAGATGAGGGGACAGATGAAGTTCTCACCCGACCTCACACTGCGGCTGCGGCCCTCGGTGTTCATGGCCCGCAGGCCCCAGCAGCTCCGAGGAGCCAGGATGGGGAGCCCCGGAAGGGCTGAGCAGATCCCCGGGGATGGTCGGCTCCCAGCTGCCCAGGGGTAGGGAAGGCCCCAAGGGCAGGCCTGGTGTGCCGGAGACCTGGGGGCCTTAGCTCCAGGCCATGTCTTCCCTGGAGGGGTTCCCCAGACGTTGCAGCAGAAGTGGGGGGAGCGACGGATCTCACCCCGTTTGCAGAGGAGGAAAGTCCTCCTCCCTATGGTGAGGCTGGGGGGCCTCCTGGGGTAGAGGATGGCAGCTGGAAAGCAACCGGTCCCCTCGATGGCTCAGGTCTGGAGTGAGACAACGTGCAGGCTGATGGGGGCCAGGGCAGCAGGAGGGGATGACAGGGGACCAGGGCCCAAGGCTTGCATCTCAGCTCCACCCACATGGACGACACGGGACCCCAATGTCACAAGGGTTGCCACACCGGTGAGGGTGGGCCTGCCCCTTGGGGGGCCTCAGGAGCCCCCTTTCCATTCCTCTTCCTGGGGGGGCCGTGCACTGGGCCTGGGGGGGTCTTGGCCCCCAACACGTGGGACAGCCCCTGAGGCTGCCTCCCTACCTGCCCACGCCGTCACCACGGGCCGTGACTCAGGCTCTCCCCTTAGCTTTCACCGCTACGGGGCCTGTGCCCCCAGGAGTCAGCCCATGGGACCCAGGCTGGTGACCACAACCTTAGTCCCTGGGGAGGGCTGGGCAGGCCTTGGCTGTAGCTCCAGGCAGCCCATGTCGCCTGGAAACACTTTTCCCTGAGGAAGGACAGGCCTGGCTCCCTCCCAGGGCGGAGCTAAGGAGCAAAAGGGGAACTTGTCACTGCAGAGACCTCTAGGCCTGGCCCAGCTGCTCGCCTCCCCTTCCCCTTAGCGGCAGAGCGGACCCCCACACACCCTGCTCTGTGGGGCCCCAGGCTTCCTCCCCAGTGGGCACCGTCTGTCCCACGGCCAGCACCCTGCCCCCAAGGGCAGGTGGGCCTGGCTGGAAACCTGAGCCGGGCTCCCAGTGGATGTGACACTGTGGATATACGTGACCTGTTCACAGGGACAGCCAAAGGCCTGCCCCAGACCTCACCAGAGCCCCGAAATCTGCCACGGTCAGGGCCTCAGGGCACGGGTGTGAGCGAGTCTGTCTCCTGGGGGATGCCCCTGCACCCCGAAACACACCTAGCCACGATCCGCCCATAGCCTCCCATGAGGGGCTCATGGAGGCTTCTCCGCCCCTCTCACTGCCTCTCACAGACAAGCAGGGCACACGCACGCACACACGTACACCCACACCCCGAAATCTGCCACGGTCAGGGCCTCAGGGCACGGGTGTGAGCGAGTCTGTCTCCTGGGGGATGCCCCTGCACCCCGAAACACACCTAGCCACGATCCGCCCATAGCCTCCCATGAGGGGCTCATGGAGGCTTCTCCGCCCCTCTCACTGCCTCTCACAGACAAGCAGGGCACACACACGCACACACGCATGCACACACGCATGCCCACACACGCAGACGCACCCACGCATGCACACGTGCACACATGCACGCCCACACACGCATGCACATACCCACACATGCATGCACACACATGTACGCATGCATGCCCACGCACAGACACGCATGCACCCACACACACGCATGCACATGCACACACCCACACATGCACGCACATGCACACCCACACACACAGATGTACCCACACAAGCACACATGCGTACACATGCATGCCCACACACGCATGCACATACACCCACACATGCACACACCCACACACATGCACACACATGCACACACATGCACACCCACACACGCAGACGCACCCACGCAAGCACACACGCGTACACATGCACGCCCACACACACCCACATACGCATGCACACACATGTACTTACGCATGCCTACACACACAGATACGCATGTACCCACACACACGCGCACACATGTACGCCCACACACATGCACACACGTACACCCACATATGCACATGCACTACCTGCACACACACCACCCACATACGCATGCACACACACACACATGCACACCAACATGTACACACACACACGTGTGCCACCCACACACCCCACACACCACCTGCTGCACGCACACCCACACATGCACGCCTGTGCGCACCCACTCACACACACACCCACATGCACACACACACCGTACACACACGCACGCACACGCACATCCAAGCCCCCTGGCGAACCTCATGAAAAGGTCGAACCAGGGAGGCGGGCGGGGACCAGAGCCTCCGCCGCCCCTCGTTTCCTGGGCTGGGACCTGCCCCGGCTCACACAGCGGGTCCGTGTGGAGCTGGCGCTGTCTGCCCACGTGTGCCGCTGACCTGCCTGTCTCCCATGGGCCGGTCTCCGCCCCGCTTCCCCCAACGCCCACTGCCCAGGAGGCTGCTTACTGCGGCTTCCTGACCTCGGGGGGCCCAAACACACGGGTGAGAGGGGGCGCTGGCCCTGCAGCCCCGCCTCTGGCCGGCAGGAACCGGTCCGTGACGTGAGCAGGGACCCGTCAGGCGGCTGGCCCCAGGGAGAAGGGCTCTTTCTTCATGAGTCTGGCCTCAGAGGTCCCCACGTCACCGCTCAGGGCCGGAGGACAGACCCTGCGTTCTCTGCAGCCGCTCCGGGAACATGGAGGGTCAGAGGCGGCCATTGAGATGGCTATGTTGGGAGGCTGGTGGCAAGTGAGGGGCGGGTGGCAGGGAGCCAGGCCACTTCTCCTGGGATCCCGCCGTCCCCCGCATGGCGGCTGGTGAACTGAAGCAGCACAGGGACCCTGCGGGGCGCCGGGAGGGGGTAGGCGTTGTCCTCTGCACTCGGAGCTGTCTGTAACTCCCCCAGGACACAGTGCCAGAGGGCAGAAGGGGGAAGGGAGAGGCGGCCTCGGGCCTGGGCCCTGCGAGTGTCCTCCAGCCGCGAGCCCACGCGTGGGTGGCCCTGCCCGGGGCCTTCTGTTCAACGCGCACCCAGAGTCAGGTCCCTCTGTGGCGGGGCCAAGGGCAGAAGGCTCCGGGGCTCACTGGACTTACAAACGAGCGACGGCCACGAGAGCAGACACCACTGAATGTCCTTGTCCACACTCCTGGATGGACAGGAGGCTGGACGGACAAACTCACAGATGCCGGGAAAGGGCGGCCGAGTCCTGTCCTGCCCTTCTCTGTGGCTACCTGGATGGGTGACCTCCTTTCTTCAGATACGAATGAGGGCTGAGCTCACAGGTGCCACCCTCCCAGGACACTCTGTCCCCCCCTCTAAAGCTGCACCAGTCCCTGGGGGCTGCTCACTGTCCTGGAGCCCAGCCTACAGGCCACGGTTCCTCAGGGCTGGTGGCCAGCGCTGGACAAACCACAGCGGCTGCAGTCGGCCCACGTGACCCTGTCGGAAGGGCAGGGCCTGGCCATCTGTCCACCCCATGCAGTCTCTGTGTCCTCTCTGCCTGGCCCCATCCAGTGCCAAGGTAACCACGACCAATGGGGGTGGAGCTGCCCCCCCGACCTGTTCCAAGGCTCTGAGAGGTGACACTATGTTGCCAAGGTCCCCTGGCCTGGCTGAAGGCTATGCAGCCCCCTCTTGTCCAACCTGGGGGACAGGCTGGAGTTGGCTGGGACCCAGCTTCACACGATGTCAGGACAAGGGGTCCTAGAGTGTCACAGGACATCTAACCTGGGGCACAGGGCAGAGAAGTTGCCCTGCCCCACCCGACCCACGCCCCAGAACACTTGGCTGGGACCAGGGACTGGAACCCTACCCGCTGGCGCGGGATTCTCATGGGGCCTCCCTCTGGCTTCCGGGTCCCAAAAAACGGCCCTAAAGCCATGTCCGGTCTCACCTTTGGCAGCCTCTGTGTCCCCGAAGCACCTGAGCCCTCCACTCCTGACAACACAGGCCTCTGAGCAAGCCGAGCCCCGTCCTGCTCAGGCCCTGTGCCTGGCACACTGCCCGAGCCTGCCCCTCCTTCAACGGCTGACTTCTCACTCAGGTCTCCGCTGAGGTGCCAGCCCCATGAGTTCTGGCCCTTTGCGCCCTGTCCGTGTGCCTCCTAGTGCCTGGAACACCCAGGCTGTGTGTGCAGCGTCTGAGCATCTCCCCGACTGACTGGTGAGTCACTCCTGTCTCCTGCCCCAGAGCCGCTCAGGGCAGCCTCGGTGCCTACTCATTAACCCACAGGGAAAGCTGTTGTGTCACCGGGCGGAAGCCATCTCTCAGTAGGACAAAGGTTCCCCATGCTGTTGCCCAGACCAAGGGCTGTGTTGCCAGCCTCCTGACCCGAAGCGCAGTGGGTGCCAACCGAGGCACCGAGGACCCATGGGCGCAGCTTGTGCTGGGCTCAGAGCCGGGCCATGCACCAGCCCGTTAGTGTTCGGGGGCCAGCAGCTGGCACTGACGCCCAGCTTCGCCTGACCTCCAGGTGGTCTGTGGCCGGATGCTCCCCCAGCCAAGTGCTCAATTCTCCCAGGCCCATACAAGTGGCCGCCTTGTGGGCATCTGTCCAAATTCCAACCATTGCCAGGGGACAGAACCCGTGGAGCCTAGGTGGCGGGCCCAGCTGTTGCCACGACTCGCAAGGGCCACGCCGGGCTGGCCCTGGCCTGGCTCGACATCCATCCCAGAGCCGAGGGAGTCCGCCAGCCCTGACGGGGGTGCCCTGCCTGCTCTGAGCCAAGATCTGCTCATCTGTAGCCCCGCCCTGTCTGCCTCTGGCTGGGCCCTCCTGACATCTGGCTCAAGCCCCAGGGGTGTGTGCCTTTG